AATATTGTGGTAGATGCCTTGATTATGATGATCTCTGATATATCATTTTTTATGATTTAAGGGTTGGATTTGATTGAAGAATTTAAGACTTATGCTTGGTGTGTGAGATTATCCTTAGGAGCATTGAATTGATTATGTTGAAAGTGACTAGTGAATTAATGGATGAGATTAGAGAAGCCTAGGAGTTAGATCCTTTCTTAGGGAACCAAGTGGAGAAGATTGGTAGAAGTATAGATAACCATTTCTGAGTAGAAATCAACGTTGTTTTGAGGTGCAAGAACAAACTTAGGTGCTTAGTAACCTTGAAATAAGAAAGATGATTTTAGAGGAAGGACATAAGAGTACTCTTAACATTCATTTAGGAGCTACTGAGATGTATCGGGACCTTAGGAGGATGGATCAGAGTGGTGCAGCAGAAGCATGGTGGCCTAAGATAAAAAGAGAAGTAGAGGAATTTGTATACTCGTGTTTAGTATGCTAGAAGTCTTTAGGAATTTTTGTAGCACTTAGACGTCCCATTTTGGAAGTGAGATGGTGAGGGGATAGACCTTAATTGTAGGCTTGTCTGAGACACTTAAAGAGATCGATTCTATTTGGGTTTTAGTGGATAGACTCGCCAAGTTTACTTGTCTTACCCTTAGATATCCTTTGGTGAAATTGATAGAGTTGTACATCAATAAGGTAGTGAGGTTGCATAAGAATTGGAAAGAAGCGAGGAGTCTACCATTGCAAAAATTTCGGGGACAAAATTTCTTAAAGGAGGGGAGTATTGTAACAGCCCAATTTTTACTGGACTGTGGGCCCAATTCGTTGCCCGAAACAGGCCGTTTCAAAAGTGAAACGGGCCGTTTTGGAATAAAGAAATTGCCTAAAAAACGTAGTTGAGAACGGGCGTTCCAAATTCCAAAATGGGCCGTTCTGGTTGAAGAGCGGGCCGTTCTGGAAGGAAAACGGGTTGTTCTGGATGAGTCCTGGAACGGGCTGTTCTGGTTTTGGAACGGGCCGTTCCAGTGCAAAAACTTGCGTAGATTTTTCGGGCCCAGAACGGGCGTTCCACTTTTGGAACGGGCCGTTCCGGGTTGGGTGAGGCAGATTCCTATAAATAGGAGGCCTCACCTCTCATTTTCTCACATTTCTCATTCTCTCTTCCTATTCTCTTCTATTCTCTCTTCTTTCCCTCTTTTTCTCTCTGAAGACCAAGGGACACTTAGAGGAGGAGACCAAGAGATCCTTGTTTTAGTTCAATTGCTGTTTATCCAGGTACGGGAAAAAAAAGGAGATTATTTATACGTAGAGTTACATGAGGGAATTGGGTTACGATTATGAGAAATTTTATAATTATTTCTGTTTGGAGAATTATTGGTCTCATTTGATTCTGTATATATTTAGGACTATGAATATATGATTTATTTGTAAGAATGATGATTTGGGAAAGAGAACGAAATGGTAGAAAAGTGCCTATGAGCTAGATTTTGGAATATTGAGGATTTTACCGTTTACGTTAAAATTATATTAATTGATAATTCTATTGATTATTATTACATTTATGAATGTTATATTAAATTGGTAATTCTATTGATTTAATATTGTATTAAACTGGAGAATTAATTGAGTTTTATATTATTGTTATATTATTGTTATAATGAGTATTCATGGTGAATTGCTTGATGGGTATGTGAATCGTTGCATTGTGTGAACTTATCAGTATGTAGTATGGAATTGTGATATTAGATGAGATGTTGTGTGGATATGATTATGATTGTGACTGTGGTACCTCACACTAATGACCAGGGATGAGACAAACCCTGGGAGGTGATGCTCCAGGGACAAGCGTGCCCCTAACATGGTGTGAGATGAGTGAGACAATTAACACGCATCACTTATGTCAAATATGGCAGCCCTGGCATAGAGTTAATTGCAAGAGATTGTGTGGATTGTAATGTGATTGTGGTTCCTCGCACTAATGACCAGGGATGATACGAGCCTTGGGTAAGTGATGCTACAAGGACGAGCGTACCCCTGGCATGGTGTGGGATGAGTGAGGCAATTAACCCGTATCACTTGTGTCAGTTGTGGCGTGGTCTTGACATAGTGTTAATTGTAAGATTTATGTGGATTGTGATGGATTGATGTGATGTGATTGTAGTTCCTTACATTATGACTAAGGGTGGCACGACCTTGGGCAAAGAGATGCTACAGGCGTGACCTTAGCATAGTGTAGGATGTGTGATTTCTCATGGTTATGTCGAGGGTGGCACGACCTTGGGCAAAGAGATGCTACAGGCGTGACCTTGGCATAGGGTGGGATGTGTGAGGCAATTAATACTTATGTCGGGGGTGGCACGACCTTGGGCAAGAGATGTTATAGGTGTGACCTTGGCATAGGGTTGATTGCAAGATTTGTGATGATTGTTGTGATTGCAAATTGTGACGTGATGATGATGCGCGATTGATAAAGTTATGATACATTGAAATGTTTATGAATATTTTATTAAGTATCGAGTTATAATGAGATGACATGTTGTGTGTTTGTATGTACTTTACATATAGATGTTTTCTTTTCTCACCGTACAATTTTGTGGATGTTTTAGGTGAAGAAGATCCGGCTGCGAGTGACATCTAGAATGCCAACAGTTAAATTAGGGGTATGCTCTGATATTGTGACATCGGGGCAGAAGACTTTTAGGACAAAATTTTTATATGTATTTGGAATTGTAAATATCATTTTAAAAACAATTTGTAAACTCTTGTGTTTGATTTTCTAAATCTTTATTATTGTGGTTATTGAAGAACGATTTTTGAAGTTTCTCATGTGAACCCTTTTACCGAGATTTAAAATATTTATTTGTAAAGTTACAATATGTGTTGGGGTAGTAAGGGTGTCACAAACTTAAAAAAAATCTGGTCCAACCTACCATGATTGATGAATTAAATGGGTTAACTCACTTAAACTAAAAGAAACTAAAAAAAAACACAAAAAAGTATTGTACTTTGTAGCAAAAAATACATATTATAATCTTATATTTTAGAATTACAACTACTCTTATAATAGGACAAAACATGTAAAAAAAATAGACATCAACCACAACTAACTAAATTAATTTATAATATCAAATAATAGCATAGTTGTTACAAAATATTAATAAATAATATTAAATTGACACTAATTATCATTATTCACAATCTAGTATATACAAAATTAATCAATGATATAAATTTATAATCACACAAATTAACATTTAAGAATCTAAAAAAATAAAAAAAATATATTAGATGAATCAACTTTTGAGATAATCCGTCTTATCACAAATTAACTCATGATAAATTGTGATAACTTTGTTGAGCTACTTATAAGTGAATCAAAACTAATTTTTCACATATTAACTCATGATAAATTGTGATGACTTTGTTTAGCTACTTATAAGTAAATCAAGACTAATTTTTCTCATATGTGAATTAGGCAACTTTTTCTAACCAAATCCAACTTAAACTCGTGGTTGGCACTTAGATTTTGTTTTTAAGTAATACTAGTGTTGACTTGGAAAATACTAGTTTGAGGGGTAACATGATTCGAATCCGACACGTGGGCTACATGCCACGTTTTGCCATGGCTGGTTCATAGATTAATTTAAACTGCCACGACACAAATACAAAGAAAAACAAACCTCGTGCATCTCGTGAAAATCAATCGTGCCATTATTATAATATATTAGTGAGAAAAAAGCTTCTACATACCTTTGTTAAAAGATAGAGAAAATAAAAAAAATAATTTGTATGATTTTAAAAATTTTCTTAGTATTGAAGATAAAATTAAAAAGAAAAAAAAAATAACACCAAATAAACCAATCCTTTGTATTATTAAGTATAGATTCAAGACTTTAAAGTTTATGCCTAGGGCTCATCCTTTAACTTGGTCCTTTAATCCTTTAATCCTTTTGAAGCTAACATAAAGTATCCTTTTTTCATCATAATGCTTAACTCTTAGGGGCATTTGATGCACAACAGTTTGCAAATCATGATTATCAAAAATTATGAAAATTGTTTGGTGGGTCTGAAGCTTGCAATTATGGCCTTGTGTCTGCATCTCCTCTCTGGTGTTTTGCTGATTCTTGCCTCAGCAGCAACAGTCACTGTCGAAGGTGCAACGTTGTTCAACAATGATATTAGGAGCAGTTCATCCCTCAACAGGAGCAGTTTCCCACAAGGTTTTATATTTGGAACAGCATCATCTGCTTACCAGGTACCATAAATTTTCCAATAATCTTTAACTTTGAAACATACTTAACAACACTTAATTACTTTTAGGAGAAAAAGCTAAAATAAAATAAGTTTTATTATAAGTTAAAATTAATTTATATCTAAACTAATTTGTAGAATTTTTTTCGTATATCAATATTGATTGACATAAGTGATAATGACTTGTGTTTCTTAATTAGATTGTTTAAGATTTTAGTTTGAGTATAAAATAAATTATGTTGAAAGAAAAATATGGTCTCTAACAGAGATTAATTACGTCTTTCGATGATAAATATTTCATATTAACATTATGATTATCAAAAAGAAAATATTTTTTATATTAATTTTTTTAAATAGAACAATTTTAATTATGTATAAATTGATTTTAATTGATGGAGAAATTTATTTAATTTTTTTCATAAATTTATTCAATCATAACCGGATTCTATATTTATATATTTGCTGTGTCTATAGTGTGAAGGTGCAGCAAATGTTGGTGGCAGAGGACCAAGTATATGGGATACATACACTCATAATTACCCAGGTCTTTTTTCCCTTTGTCAATAATACAATCAATGTCCACTATAAAATGTTTCTAATTAAACTACATTGATAAATATGAAAAGGAGTTTAATTTCTAATATATAATAAATTTTCGGATAGAATAGAGATAGATGCTTCCCAATCTCGATCTGCTTCTTGCCCTAGTATATAATTTAGATTATATAAGGAGACAGAAAGTGGAGGGGTGATGGAAGCACATTGGTCAAGGGCCCTCTTAGTACGGATATGGTCAAGAGGTTGGAGGAGGAATGAGTCAATTATCAAGAAAAGCCCATAATATTCTTTAATTGGGCTATACATTGAAAGCTCATGTAGATTAGGATTGGGTCATTGGGCTTGTAATTTTGTTTGTGAGTCTTGTATTTTGGCTAAGTAATATAGGAAATTTGGGTCTTATAATTTTTGGCCATTTATAGATTTAAGATTAAGCTTGCACATGTGTAACTTCATTTGCATCTAATTTAGGTTACATTTGAAAGCACTTGAATCATGTGACCAACCAAGTGGAGTGGCACATGGCATGACTCAGATGCTTCTCAAATGCAAGCTAAATCACATCCAAATGAAGCAAGTACATGGCCGAACCCAAATTTGAATTTTGGGTGTCTAAAGGTTAATTTAAACCATACCATGGTTTATCTTTACCTAAGGTTAGACTAACTTCTTCCATAATATTCCTAGATTTATACATTCTCTATGACCGTGTAATTTGAATCACTTTGGATATTGAATGAGATCAAATTTCATCTTCTTTAAGATCTAAATTCTCTCTAGTCGGAGTCACCAAGGAGAATTCCTTCTCCTCCTTGCCTTGAGCTTTTCTCTTTGTAGTTCTAGGCTTGAGCTTCTTCTACTTAAGAAGCTTGGTTCACCTTGATCCTTATTTCACTCCTTCTTGACTGAACTCTATCCTTCAAGATCCTCAAGAAATTTCAAGAAGTGTCTCAAATTCTCCATGGAGTCTAAGCACACCAAGGCTCTATCAAGAGGTCTTCTATAAGACCAATTTTATGTTTAAACAAAAATTTTAACTATTGATTTTAGTATGTGATTCAGTTTTATAAAGGGAGAGAAATGGGGGAGAGGGGTGGACTTTGCTATAACACCAATTTTATGTCTAAACACACTTATTTTAACTAATGATTTTAGTTTGTGATTCAAATTATATATTAGGGAGAGAGAAGGGGGAACGGGGTAACTTTCCTACGAGACCAATGTTATGTTCAAAACACGTTTGATTTATATATAATTACAAAATTTGTTGGGGTGCTTATTAAAAAAATTGCTTTCATCCTTTTTTTCCCCTTAGATTCCTCAATTTGGTTTTTCAAGTGTGAAACAGTTACACCTTAATTCCTAGAAAATGATATTTATTTTTTTAATTTTAAAAAAAGTCACAATTATTACTTAATTCCTAAAAAAAGATATTTATTTTTTTTTAAAAAAAAAGTTCATGAAAGTTATTCAAGTTGGTCTCCATATGAGAATGTGGATAATTGTTAATTGACATCATTAAGTGTCACACTAACAACTATCTGTTTATTCAACCAGACCAATTTGAAGTGTTATTACATCAAATAGATTAAATTGAAGACTTTCAAATGGGTCCTCCCACTAATTTATTAAATTTTATTTTAGTCCCGAAAAGTTAGTATAACTACTTTGAAATTAATTTGTGTCAAATAATAATCAACATACATTTTAAACTTTTAAAATTAGTCTTTGCACCAATTTATTAAAATTTATTTTTGTCTCTAAAAGTTAATAATTTTCAAATGAGTTCCTTTTTAATAATAGTCAACATGTTCTTTTAAACTATGAGGGACAAAATTGAAAGGTAAGGGAAAACAAATGAGTAGATTATATTGAAGGGGTTTGTTCTCTGAAAAGGGGAAACATATTGAACATTGTTTTCTCTTACCTCCACCACTTACAACCTTCTCCTCATCCTCGACCCACCTTCCACCCCCTCTTGCTTTATCCTCGCCTTCATCTTCCCTTCAAAATTTGAATCTAACTCCCTCTTTTGGTGAACAATAATTTTAAGATGAAGTATAGTGTGGTTGGTGTTGCCACTTCATCATTGAAAGGCCAAAATTCGTGCCACTTGTGATTGGCTCAAAGATGCTTCAAACTTTGAAAGAGATCGAAGATTAGGATGAGACTCTTGTTAAGGTTAGGTGTTTTTTAATTAACATTAGTTTGGTTGATGTTCACTTTAAGAAGATTCAGGTTAGTAATGTGAGACTTTTAAGAAGTATTATCTAATAGGACACTTTGCATACTGTGAAAACCGATTAGAGATCCAACGTGCGACATTTTGTGCTTTAACTATTTTATAATTTAATTATTAGTCATTCTAAAAAATTTTCCCAATTTTAATCACTCATTTATTTTTCGTCGGTAGTTGTTTTAACTCCTGTGCTAAATTAAAATTGTTAAGTGTTGAGTTTTTTAAAAATTACATATAAACATGACATATGTCATCCATATGACAATTACACAACATAAATATTACACGGTATTACATGTCATTTTTATAGATATGTCACGTATATTTATACTACGTGATTGATGTATTGTGTTGACATATACTTTTGTTAGACATGTCAACATTTAACCGGTAAAATATTTGTAGGGACTAAAAATTAGAAGAGAGTTATAATAATACTAGTGTAACTTTTACTAAGTATTACACTACTCAATAATTTTATATTAAATGTGAATTTTGTAAATTTAATCGTAAGATTGAAAGTTCATATTATTTTATATGTATATATCAAATTTTGTTAAAATTGAACAAGAACTTGAAGGTAATCAAAGTCTTTATATTTTAGCATATTTTGAAATGAATATATTAAGTCAATTTTGTTTTTAGAAGAATGAAGTATAAAATCATTTTGGATTAATATAAAATTTTGTATATATAAGCTATAAGAGATATGAACTTTCAATCTAACGGTTGAATTTTCAAAATTCACATTTAATATAAAATTATTGAACGATGTAATACTTAATAAAAGTTACACCGGTGTTATTATTATAATCCTTTTCCTAAAAACTAATATTGAATTAGTTAAAAGACGAAAAACTTATTTAACCTTGAAACTTAAATATGAATTAAGTCCTTAGTCATTCTTATTTGAGTTTAATTTAAATGCATTGATAGTGAAAAAGTTTTTTTTTTTTTCTATAAATACTGTAATATAGTTTTGATTTAGTTTTCCTAATATAGCCTTGATTTGTTAGAGACATGTGTTTGGTTATAAAATCTTTCATATTTTGTTTGAATGTGACAGATAAGATACTAGACAAGAGTAATGGAGACGTTTCCAGCGATCAATATCATCGTTATAAGGTATGATAAAAAGGATCATTCTGATACATTACCTAATAAAGTGATAAAATTAAAGCATTGAGATTCTTTTCATAACTAATAATACAGGAAGACGTTGAAATCATGAAGGAAATGAACATGGATGCTTATAGGTTCTCAATCTCTTGGTCCAGAATACTTCCTAGTAAGAAACAAGGAATTATATATATATTTTTTGAAATTTTTTTCATTAGCATTCCTTAATCATGCAACCAAAAAAGATATTTTTGTACAAATAGATGTCCGTTTGTTTAAATCTTAGATTGAGTTGTCGTGAGAATAATTAATTTGAAAATTTAGCTAACTTGCTTCAACAATCTGAAAATAAATGATAAGATGAATTTGTAGCAAAAAGGGGAATATAATTTTTGGCTAATGGACTCCTAAGTTCGGAAAACGCTTAGTTAGGTGAACAAATAAGAAGACAAAATTAATTGCATGAAAGTAAATATAAGAATTTGTAAAGGAAAACAGTGAAGAAAAACATCAAAGGAAAACAATAAAATAAATATGCAAGTAAAAAAAGTTTATTAATTGATTGTGTATCTTTGTAAATTAAGCTTAAGGATTGTCGCCACCGGCCCGAAACGGGCTTTCGG